AAACGGCCTCTTAATCCAAAAATATAAAAAGCAACCAACCTTTTACTACAGGGGAAATAGTGATCTCGCTATCTGCCAAATTCACATGCACATCGTAGAGGTCTGGTCTACTGTTCACTTCAGAATCTGTAAATCCAGCAATGTAACCTAGAGAGCAGAATTTTGGCAAGATTAGGATCTTCAAAAACAAAACAAAACCAAGATATTAGAGAATAGTCACAGTCCTAAAGTCTGTTCTAAGAGTATTTGACACTCATTGGACTCATCAGACCCAGGAGGTTGCTCTCTTGCTATTATCAGTCATTTAACAAGTGGGTCCAGCAGAATGCTTCACCTCCAAGGAGCTTAAAAATCCACTTCTAAAATTGCCTTGAACATGGATGAACCACTAACACTCCAACCAATATAAAAAGGTTATCAATTTGAAATTTCAAACTCTCTTCCTACCTTGCTACTAAAATTCTTCATTTGCAAATGAAAAAGACACTGAACTTCCTCTTCAAAAGAATCTCCACTCCAGAGCCCCTTGTCACTAAGTATTAGATTGGAACAGAGGAATAAAACCAGCAGATTTTCTTATTTATAGCATGCCAGGTGAGCAAACTTAGAGCAGCTTTTCTCTGTGGAAGATGTTTAGTGAGCTGAAACAGCCACTCTTGGTAATGCAGTAGAAATATTGAAGATGAGTAGTCTTCTTGCTCATTGTTCTGTATAGAGAAGCCTCTTAATTGCCACATTATGTGTCATGCCAACCTTTGCATAAACCAAGGGCTTCTTCCTGGATTATACGTTAAGTACTACATGTACACAGCAACGTGTCACACAGGTCAAACTCCTACATAGCTGGTAAAGTCTACCTGCGATTAGGAGCCAGAGACTTCGCTGGCAGCAGTCAGAATAAAAATTTGGAACTTCAGAGGTAGGAACTGGAAAAAAAAAATTCTAAAAATTCAGTTATTAGCTATGTGTAGAAGTTGGAAAAAAAAAAAGTAGCTTATCTAAAGTGAGCTGCTTCTGTACAGCAGTAAGACTTTCAATCCCTCTGAACACAACATCAAAAAAGTCTCACAGCTGCTTTGCACCTGTGATTAGGGGGTAGACTGATGTGGATCCACCCAGAAACACCAGATTAACTAGTTATCTTCTAACATATTTTTTTAGTTGATTTGCCTTTTCTAAAGAAAATTATGCTGTTTAACTTTGAACAATAGCATTAATATCAAAGCAACCACTTCTTTCCCCCAAAGAGCACTGGTGCAAGATCTTACAGCAATAGAAACTGAAATTAAATTTTCTTTATATTTTTGATTAATAAATCATCATTACCTGTGCAGGCTTTTAAGGCTTCCACTTCCTCCTCATTTAGATGTACATATGAATGAAGAATTGACCAATCTTGTCGATGCCATACTAAAGCAGGCAAAGTCCTAGGGAAATTAGATTGACACACGGTAGTTTTTTACTTATACTAATTAAAGTTTCACAGTATGAAATGCCACGTCATAAGAAAGAACTAGTATGACTATGTTTCATTTGGCATGCATATACATGAACTACAGAGATTGCTACTATGAGTGCAAGCAGAGTTTATCACTCATTCTACAGTTAAATTTCTCTGAGTTGATGAACATAGGGCTAAAGCCTTAAGAGGGATTTAGCAGGATTTCAATAAACAGGTTTAAAAAAGATTTCCTTCCCTAAAATAGGGGCATTTCTCTCAATAAAGGTTAAAAATCTGTTGGACTTTTGGGGGTGGGTGGGGAGGTAGGGATTGACAAAGTACCTGGTGAACTCCTGGATAGCTTCTATTCTAGGATGGTACACTACAATACGCTTCTTTAACATCAGTGCCGTATATAAGATAACTGTTTCCATTCCAAACTGAGATACTATATCTAGAAAAGAGGGGAAAATTATTTTATAGAAGATACACATGCTGATACTATCATTTGTTTTTTGAAGAAGCTTAATAGTAACAGCACAGATAATACCATTAACACTATTTGCTTGAAGTACACATGAAAACTGGATTGTATTTTATATTGTACAAAATAAATCAGAACAGAGATTTCTGGTATTAATTAACCTTTGATGGAACCAGCAAGATAAGCCTTCCGAGGATCAAAATCTTTGCTGAGGAAAGACCCATTTTCTTCGCTTTGGCAGATCCCCTTTGTAAGGACTGCAATGTAACTCTCCATCATTTTAACTGGACTTCCATGCTTCAAGTAGATTCTGTGTGAAAAGAAGAGAGTCTGGTATTTTGACTGCAAACAGTACCAGCAGACACACACACACAAAAAAAAAACCCCACAGTATCACAAATAGCAATATTTGGCAAGAATTCTTATTTTGGACATGTGGTTGAGGTTTTAAATACTGAACTAGAAGTCTTTCAACATGCACACAAAAACATGTCTCTCTTTTAGGATAAAAAACTACCTTGCATTTTTATTTGAGTTTCCTATTTTATGAAATAACCAATATTTACCAATATAGAAACATAGTACAAAGGTGTAAGCAGGTGTCCAGACTAAGGATTCTTTGCAGACTTGGAAGGTACCTGCTTCATGAAAAAGCAACTACTACAGTAACTCCTGTTATTAAATGCAGACCATGTGACTAGTTATTCATTTTTTTAATCCAAGCATCATTAGACATTCTTCCGTACTCTGTTAAATGATGAAAGAAAAATATACATATGTCCTTAATACTCATAAAAAAACCCACACACACCACAAAACAAGCACACACTAACAAAACCCATGTACTTTTAGCTGTCTTTCAGACAGCAGAGAGACACCATAACTGATTTTATAGCTTAAGGTACTTCAGGAATAGCACTGAAGCTCTCAACTATCCATTTTTCATATTAGCTATAGGTCAAAGCTATGTCACATTTGAAACTCAATTTTTATGTTTAGAAGAATCCATCCTGGATTTGAAATGAAGTATTAAAGCTAAGTTATCAGCTACTGTGATCCACAGCAAATACAAGTATTTCATATATCAGTGAAAGAGAACAATCTCAGTTTTCCAGTACCCTGCAGAACTGATAAGCCTGACGGCATTCCCAAGGCTGTGATAGAATAACCTCGCTATTGCATCCAATTAGCTGCAAAATCTCAGGGAATACTCTTGGTATCAAGAACCGGGACCCAACTAATTTGGGAACTGAAGGAAAAGCAAAGAAAGATGCAGAAACAGATCATGAGAATGGGGACATGCAGGAAAGTGAGTAAACGGGACAAGGGAAAAGAGGATGGCAGTCTGGCTGGCAGAAGGGAGAAGCCAGAGCCACAGACCTCGAGAGGCAGAGGGCTCTCATCTTTCTTGAGGAAAAGCCAAAACATCCCTGGGTGCTGTGCTTAGCTCAGAGGAGCTGCAAGAAGCATCTGTAGTAGAGATGATGTGGAGATACGGAAATCGTCCACAAAAACACATGGTGACCTTTGACTACACAGCACTGACCTCTTCCCAAATGTTTATACTTTTTAAAAAACATGTTCTCAGAGAAAATGAGCGTGTGGGTGGGTGGTGGTGGCGTGTGTCTGGAGAAGACACATTAAAACCTACTGGTCACCTCACATTCACCCAACACTTACTGCATGAATCAAGAGAAACCCAAATCAAGGATTTATATAATCTGATTCACAGTTTGTAGGACTGAGTTTCCAGCAGATTGCTAGAACAAGTGCAAACACAACACAATGAAATTTAATCTTTTGCTTTGGCAAGATCTAAACATGCACACAGCAGTACCTCAAAACAGCTTTTATACAGACCTACACAGTATCCTAGTGAAGGCTGCGTATTTCTCTGGGTTGAAGTCTTTGGCTGTCAGAACAATGGAGAAATGGGTCACCTGGATAAGGCACATGCACAGAAAAACAGACATCTTATTTAATGACCCCACATGAACAGTCTTTTTCACACTACTGAACTTACTGCAGTACTCTGACAAGGTGTTTCAATTAAAAAAAAAAGTGAGTGATAGCAGCTGTCCTGGTTGTGGCAGGGATAGAGTTAATTTTCTTCCTAGTAGCAGGCACAGTGCTGTGTTTTGGGTTTAGGATGAGAAGAATGCTGATAACACACTGATGTTTCAGTTGTTGCTAAGTCCCACTTATGCTAGCCAAGGACTTTTCAGCTTCCCATGCTCTGCCAGGGTCACAAGAAGCTGGGAGGGGGCACAGCCAGGCCAGCTGACCCAAACTGCCCAAAGGGCTATTCCATACCATATGGTGTCATGGGCAGTATAGAAACGGGGGGGAGTTGGCTGGGGGGCAGCGATTGTTGCTTGGGGACAGGCTGGGTATCAGTCGGTGGGTAGTGAGCAATGGCATTGTGCATCACTTGCTTTGTCTATTATTATTACTGTTATTATTACATTGTTATTATTTTCATTACTATTTTACTTTATTTCAATTATTACACTGTTCTTATCTCAACCCAGGAGTTTTCTCACTTTTACTCTTCTGATTCTCTCCCCTATCCCACTGGGGCAGGGGGAGTGAGCAAGTGGCTGCGTGGTGCTGAGCTGCTGGCTGGGGTTAAACCACGACAGCAGCAGACTCAAGATACTAACTGCAGAATAAGGCCTGGTTAACGTATTTCTGACGTGACTCATTTCCATTGAGCCATACTATCTTCTGCTTAATCTACTCTATAAGAATTGCTTTCCTTTAATCTCATGAGATTATTTTAAAAGAGAGAAAGACATTTTTCTTCCCCACAGCAGGTAGGAAACTTCAGTATTTGCTGCCAAAGAAGGCTGTGGAGGCAGACAGCATCAACATATTTAGAAAGAGACCGGAAAAAAATTCACGGATAGCAGGCGCACAAACAGAAATACTCTTTTAATACTCATTTAATCACATGATTGTGGGCTGGGACAGCATGAGGCTGAAAGTCTGCAGACATAGCATGAAACATGAAAATTGAATAAACTTAACAGACAATTTAAAGACCTTCATAACAGAAGTACAGAAGATACAAGCATATTTGCAGTCTTTCAGTTATCAATGCAGCGGAAAAGAAAGTACCGAAAGTACCTATGTAACTCAACCCTTCGGGAAAAAATCATCGAGTTCTGTATGAAGAAGATTTCAGACACTATGAAAGACCCTTTACAGAGCTTTTTTGACAAAAAGAAAAAAAAGCAAGAGAGAGAACAAATTGCTGAACCTGAAATGCAAAGTAACTAATGGCATGAAATAGCATCTCCATTTTAATACACAGAATCTAAATTGTGTAATGAGTATCTCAATCTCTTTGCACCTCCATCCAATATACATCTTGGTGAAAACCTTAACATGCAGCCAGTTAGGCAGCTGGGTAACAGCTACATTTGTGAGCGCACAAAACCTCAAATCCCCTCCCTTTCTCACAGCATACAATGGGAAAACACTGCTTAAACTGCCAGAAGCAGCTCTGCAGAAGTGTTCCCTGCACTCTACCAAAAACCCAATGGGACAAGTCCTACCTTTTTCAAGGCTGGAGAATCTTGAACTTCCACAGTTGTGATGTAGAACCACAATCTTTTATACTGGCCAAATACAAACGTATGAAGCAATTTATTTTCATCTGTAAGGCAGCACTTTCGCAGCAATAGACTCCTCAGTTCAGCTGTTACGGACGGATAACACCAAACCCACAAAGCATCTCCGTTGGTGTCTTTTTCTATGGTGGAAAGATGTTCACTGTGAGAATGCCAAACAGCAGCAAGGAAGTAAATTGATGGGTTAATCAGGTTTGTTTCCTGGAATCAGATTAAAATTCCACCTTACCCTGACCCCAGACATCCAGTTCTGCCACTACGGTTTAAGCTGTAGGGCAGCACTTGTGCTACGGGGTTTATTTTTTAAATGTTCATAAATATCCACTCTTGACCTGCTTCACGAGGTCAAAAGAGAACCAGGAGTTTGAATATACATTCATATGAGCAAGGTATTGACCAACAAGCGCCCGAACCAGCTTATTTATGATCTTCCCTGCTTTTTCTGTTTCTGATTTCATAACAGAAACCTCAGAAGCCGTGAGTTTAAGACACTTTGGCCGAGCTGTGCACGTTTGAGCTCTGTAACAGGCAAACCCAGACGCCGGCCTCAGCGAGCGGGCACCCCTTGCCACA